ATTCATATGTGATAATGATGCCACAATTTCTTTACGAAAATTATTGAAGAAACGAGCTGGTGATCGTGTTGATATCTACAATTTGTCAGGTGATGGAGCAATTCAAGTTTCCAACTTTGAAGAGTATAAGTATCTACAAGTTTTCGTTTATATAGTTTGTTGTTAAGTTATTTGTTATTTTCTATAATTTTTCTTTTGATTTGATATACTATTGTATTTAATTTGTTTTATTTATTGATTGGACTTCTTTATAAAGCAATGGTTTGGTTAAGTTATTTGATTCTTCCTGATGCATATTTTATTTCTCTGGCAGGTCCGCTCGATAATTTATTTTTAAACATGTAGAAGTTTGATCTATGTTTGTTCAAACATTGTCTTACAGTACACAAACTGACGCGTGCTATTTTTTCCAATAGTAACTTTGGCATTTACTAATGTTATATATTCAATATGCCCGTTTTTTCATGTCGTATATTTAAACTACTTTATTATTTACTTTTGTAAAATATCCACCGTGCAACGCACGGGGTAAGATACTAGTTTTATTAAATTCAACACAAATAATCCGTTTAATACTCCAAGAACAGTAGGCAAACAACCAAATAGACTATTTTGATTCACAGTGTGTTATGCGATTTTTTGACTAAATAAGTTCTACATACAAATGCCCACTAATTCTAGCAAGAATAACAGATTAATAACAATTCTTAATGGACTGTTTAAACAAACATCTACGATACAGTCATATATTCTACAATTACATAATTTACAAGCAATTGTTTAAAAAATAGTTTGTTTGTAGTATACTCAAATAGGATTACAATGTTTTTTTCAAAGTCATCTATTCTAACTATATACCAACAAAACCATATATGTAAGATTCAACTATTTCTATTTTAGCTCATTACAAAACAGCTATTTAACAAATTCATCTATTTCAAATTATATTAATTTCCCCATAAATGGACTTCAAGCCCACAATTTTCACAGTCAACAATTCACAATGAACTATTTACAGAATAATCTATTTACATTCAACACAAATAGTCGAATTAATACTCCAGGGACGAACAGCCAAATAGTTTATTGTGTTATGTGATTTTTTGACTGAACAAGTTCTACATACAAAGCCCACTAATTCCAGCAAGAATAACAGATTAATTACCTGCGTCGGTTTGCCGAATGTCGTTCAATGCTTTGGTCCTGCGTTCTCCTGTTCACAAAAATAAAATGTAAAACAAACACATTTGTAGATGGTGTTTCTTGGTAGAACCAAAGATAGGATGTTAATGAACATGAGTATTTCAATTGGGATACTTACTGCTCGCAGACGTCGCTTTATTTTCCGACTGCGGTGCGTTGGTGTCCATTGCTTCAAGAATTTCACTTATTTTATAGCTTCGTCGCCTATTTTTTTTACCCAGAAAATGACACAATATAGTCGTTTCACAAATTTTGGTGAGTGAGTTTAGGATTTTGGGAGCAATTCGAATTTTTGTGCCATAGGTTATGTCGCCGATGTAGTTGTTTAGGAGATTTAGGGTTTGCAGTGGGAGTTATGGAAAGATTTTGAAAAGCGAGATCTTGGGGATAAAATCTCACACGATTTCAGCAATTTTATTTCCCGAATTTGGTGTTTGTTTTTTGTTTAGAGAAAACGTGGCTTCAACAAGATTATTTTTGGGATTCATTAAAATAGTGGATTTTCTATTAATATTAAAAATATGGCTGAATCCCCCATTATTAAAAAAACACTGGAGAGAGTTCTGGCTAATAGTCCCTATTATATAAGGGGTTATCAAAAAAAAGGTAAACATAGTTTGGGTCTGCATTATTGACAAATGTGGTTTGATGGGTCTACCTAAATAACCCTAGAAATTTTGACTCATAACGTCATACGTATGAATTTTATTGTTCAAGGTTGTATAACACGAGTATTTTAATGAAAATAAAGTTGAATGTCGAAGTTAGAGACAAAAATACTATATACTTTTTTTTTCCTTTTTCAAAATTTTACTAGTACATACTTTTGAGATGAATTCTCTGAGAATTCATGTAAATGTGATAGGAACAAACAAATGAAATGAACTTTTTTCTCAATTTAATAAGAATTCTTTATGTCGATACTTGTATGCATGCAGCAAATGATACTTTCGGAACTTAAAACATATGGCATAATGCACTTTCTGATAATTAAAGTTCCACCGCTCCCCAAATATAATCGTCGACAGTGAAACAACAAAACGATCTTTAATTTCAAATTCGACAAATTAATACAACAAACTGATGGATGTAATTGACAAAATTGGATTCCTAAAGCACCACAACACAAGTCCAAACAATAGAAATTTCGCCATTTTTTTAAGCAAAGTTGTGGAGTAAAAATCAGTAAATTGAGACCAACGATAATACTACACGAGAGACCGAGTCAGTTTAGCATTTCCCCTCCACAAATCCGAAGCTTAGAAACAACATACATAAATAAATTTATTGCAGTCGAGGAAGTCTAGACTGGAACTGGCTCAGCAACTTTATTAGACGCGCCGACTTTAACCTGCATTTAAAAAGAATGTCGAAATATGTTACTCTCCTTAGCTGTTTTATCAATGTGCTTTTGACCTTTTACGCGACGACGAACCAGAAATCAAAACAGAGACGTATAACTCTATTCATAACACTAGAGCGAAACAGGTTATTTTTAAGTACCATTGGAAAATGAGAGGGGGCTTTGGTTCAGAACTTAGAGGCGGTTTCCGTTTTACCTGCAGTTATATTATAGTGCATAAGGGATTTGGCTAGTACTTTGCAGCCTCGTCTCTGATTGGTTAACAAGAGACTAGCACAGCTTATTAATTTATTATTTTAGCTTTAGCACATTAAAATTCATCGTAGTTTATAGCAGGGAAAGTGAAGTCAGATTAAGAAATGGACTTTGGTTTAGCTCTGTGTGGTTCTGTACTTATGTGTTGACGATTCAAATTGGAGTATCTTGTCGAAGTGAAGCACATTAAATCTAGGAATCTATAAAGAACCAATAGCTTATTACCTTTGCTGATTTAAAGAGCTCGTCCAGCACTTCGGACAAGGTTGGGTGAGCATGCACAGCAAATTTTAATTCCTGTAGAGTGCAAAAGTAGCAGGCAGGTAATTAAGTATCTGAAAGTAAAAGCAGATTGTTTCGATTGAAATTGAAAACGTGGTTATACCATAAAAAATGTTCGTATCCAATTTGATTTGTGTTTGGGGTAGTTAAAATAATTAAAAAAAAAATAGAGAGGTAAGATACTTCTAGTGGTGATTGAAACAGTATTGCTAGAAACCCAGAAATTCAGTCCCCCACTCCCCAAGCACGACCAAATAAGTACGTAAAAATTGATAACTTCAGAAAACAAGTGTCTAAAGAAGCTTATAAGCTTCAACGAGAAGGCACTTTTTTTTCCTTAGCCTTTCCAGGTTAACAAATTAAATGTTTGTGTACATATACTAAAAGGCGATGGTGTACAAATCAATGAAGTGCGCAAACTGAAAGGAGAAGTACCTGTAAACGTGTTCCCATGGCTATGGCATTAGATGCTTCGTGTATGAGATCTGCTGCATGCATTCCAAAAATATGAACCCCAAGTATCTCGCCAGTATCAGGTCTGTAGATCAACTGCACAAATACAAACAAATTCAGTACGTAAATCCATTTGTTATCTTAAGACAAAAAGAAATATAGAAAAACATTCAGGGAACTTTTCTTTTTTCTTTTTATCTTTTTTCGATATAAGGTGAAAGTAACTTTCTAATATGTTCTTAAAGAGTGAGTGAAGATTCTTTGAATCCCTAACCTAAGGCACTGGGATATAAAAAGATAAAGCAAGTAAACTTAACGCAAACACGAAGCTATTATGGTTTGTGAATTACCTTGGCTAGTCCTTCGCCTTCATTTTCAGCAAGGGCTTTTGTGTTTGCTTTGAAACTTGTCTTGGCAATGCTTATTTCAAATCCTTCCTTCTCAGCTTTTTCTCTTGCTTGAGGCTATAAAAATTGAGTAGATTTTAGCAGGAGTACATAGAATATATAGTAAGCGAACAACCACCTGTAAGCAATTACACTTGGTTTCCCTATTTTCATTTACCGAGACAAATTCACTGAAATTTGCCTCTGAAGACTTGTACCACTATTATATGCAAACAAGCCTTCTACTCATTTAACCTACATGGAGCCGTTGCAAAATTGACACGAGGAATCACTTAGAAAACCATTGTTTCTCACTACAAGTCATCTGAAAATTCCAGTTGTGACTTATGGATCTTCATTACAATATTAAAACAACAATAATAGGTACTTGTTGTGCTGTACCGGAAGCAGCGAAACGCAAATATAAAGTGAAAATGGGGGAAAAATGGAGAGTCAAAAACGAAGAAGTAGGCATTGTTTAAAAGGTACATTCCCAGACGAAAAAATTTCTAGATGGAAAAATGTACCTCAGTCAGCCCAACCATACTGATTTCGGGATGGGTAAAACATGCTGCTGGAATGCTTAAATGATTCAATACATGGTCCTGCCCGGAGACTTGCTCAACAACTACAACCATTTCCGTAAGTCAATTGACTGAAAAAAAATGTGATAAAGAATATCAAATAATTGAAACTCCACTTCGAAATTCATTACCAGAGATTCCTTGTGCACTTGCTGCATGGGCAAGCATCATTTTGCCATTAGCATCACCGATGCAATACAAATGAGGAACCTAATAATCAGAACTTTGGATCAGTATAAGGCACAAATGCATAATAAACTAAAGCTTGAGAAGATTTACAAATAAGAAAGCGAAACTGCAGACCCACCAACTTTCCATTTGCATCGATCACTCTCATGCGCTCATCAACAGGAATGAATCCACGTTGTGTTTGTACATTAATCTGGACAGAAATAAATTATTTGGATAAGTTGGCTTTCCACTTGTATAGTTAATTTCAATGTGAGCTTTACGATACTAATATTCGAAATTACTAACATTTTCCAAACCAAGTCCTTGAGTGAATGGGGCCCTTCCAGTTGCAATAAGTGCTGCATCTACCTGCAGCAAATCGTACAATTCACTACATACGTAAGGTCCAAGAGGCATTTAAAGTAATGATTACAGATAAGAAGGTGATTTACAACACTTGAGAAAATATAAATTGGGATGCAGGGTTTCACATGTAACTCTGGTTAACTGTATCCATTTCTTAGGTTGTTTGAACTGCTGACGTATACAAATATTTTTTCAACTATGTTTGCTGCAAATATTTTTCCGTAGGCCTTTCCTATGAAAGATTCCTGAAAATTACCTCCAAAGTATCCTTTGGCTCCTTTGTCTTTGCGTCAATGAGCTCTATTTGTACTGGTTTTCCATCCTTCGCTGGAGTGATCTGTTCAGGGGGTTAAACTCATAAAACATGAACAATATGCTTAACCTAAGAGGGGGTTTATACATTCACATGAAATAGAAATGTGATTTTTAAGCACCTTGCTAGCAAATACACCGGTGTAAGAATCGATCTTGCGAGGATTGATGAGAACTCTCTGAGCTAATTTTCCAATCTCAGGATCAAAGCCCGGCATGAGTTGATCTAAAGCTTCAATGAATGTAACCTGTGCAGTTCAACAATAATCAGATCAAAGCCCCTATGCTTCATGCAATATACTAGAGGTGTAATTGCGCTAAACAGCCTAATGTATAGATATTTATACTAGTAATTGAATCATGATCGGCAATGATGTGCGTAAATTATGATCATCAAGGAGAAAAAAAAGAAAAATATATCAGTTACCCTAACATAAAGGATATCTAGTATGGCCTAGGTAATAAATATAGATGTGAAATACTACAGGAAGAATTAAGTATCAGACCTCACTTCCAAGTGCTGTATAGACATCACTGAACTCAAGCCCAATGTAGCCACTTCCCACAATAGCTATCCACTCTGGAACTGATTCCAGTTTAAGAGCATGGTCACTGGTAATCACTGTCTTACCTGCAATAAGTGGTAATTAAGTACGTGATGAATGAAGCTCAGAGCATATTTAGTGTATCTTTGAAGTCAGATTAGTGCAACATTGGAACACGGAAGCAAATTGATTGAAAATTAAGATAGCATCATAAACGAAGCACAGATAAGCAACTACCATCAACTTCAATTCCCTTGGGCACCAAAGGAACAGAGCCAGTAGCAATTATTATGTCTTTTGCAGTTATGATATTGTCTCCTTTTCCATATTTCAACTTCTGTGGACCCTGAGTAATTTACGAATTGATATGTTAAAGACTTCTCGAAAATGTTTAAGATTATGCTGAGAAATTTTCCAGATATAGGCCCAAGAACTCTGCGAGCTGTAGATGTGGACTCACCAGAACTGTACCGACACCTGTCAATATATCCACACCGAGAGATTTTAATGAATTGGTCAAGTTGTTTCTAATCTTTGAGGCCAAATTGTTTGCGTGATCAGCAACTCCTTGTCTGTCATATCCAGCAGCTGCAACCTATCATTGTGGCATTTGATGATCGGTAAGCAGTGAAAACATGATATGGAAATGAACATCGTTCAGCATAACTTCCTCATTATGCATATTACACAAGTAAAAGGTTTCAAACAATAGGTTTTCGTGTTTATATCTTTGTCAGCAATTTATGGACATATGATTTTAAATTTCAGTCCGTGCACTAATCTTAAAGTTAACAGTAGACAACTAGACATTACATTGTTTCAGCACGAGTCCTGATCCTTGAAGCACCGATTCAACAATAAGAACGCCATAAAATAGGATCTTATTCTAACCTTCGCAATGACATAGACTTTTGAATTTTCACAGTAAACTAAACTAAAAGGGCTGAAATATGTACATGCTTGTATAATGAGGAGTACCTGCAAACCAAAAGACTTCATATGGTGTTCGTTTTGAAGCTCTCGCATGCGACCACTGACAGCAAGAAGTGCTTTAGAAGGAACGCAGCCCCTATTTACACATGTTCCTCCAATTACATCTCCTTCTATGATTGCAGTTTTCAAGCCCTACAGTCAATAAAAAATCAATTTTCAGATAAACAGAATATACAGAAGTTGGTATCGGAATAACTATACAAATACGAAACTGGAAATGAAAAACATGTACTCAAGATGGCCTATGTATATCACACGGATACTACATCAATGATCAGTGTCTCTCAGCATATTTATGTCACAGATAGCAAACTTATCATACACGACGTATACTTACAAAAATGTTTGTGATTGGGTTCTTTGTAGAGATGATTCAATAATTGTCAACGATGATAATGTAAGAACTTATATTTGTGATGACAGTTATTGTGGATATTATTATCAAAATAATATACTACCTATTGATAGACCTTCACATTACCTCTAAATCGTACCTTTTTTAATTCATAACTATGCTAATTAACATTGATGTACATGGAGAAAGGTAACCTATTGATGAATTATTCACAATCGAAAGATATGATTCAAAACATAACACAGAGAAAATGATTGCCAAGCTGATTTCAATTGCCATTGCATAGCACATCATGCTTATGATAAAATGTAGATTTGCTTCAGTGTAGGTAAAACCACCGAATAAAACAACAAATTACAACACACGCACACACACGGAGAGAGAGAGAGAGAGAGAGAGAGAGAGAGAGAGAGAGAGAGAGAGAGAGAGAGAGCAATGCAGGCGATAAATTATACCTTCTCAACGGCATGAAGCGCGGCGCCATGGCCACCAACTCCAGCACCAATAATCACGAGATCGTAGTCAAAACCACCGGAAGGCGGGGTGCCATTGCCATTCAACGCCGCAAAAACTTTACATGAATTCGAACTCTTCGAATGCAAATTGAATCGATTCAAGCGCAAGGACGGCGCATCAAATGAGGCTTTCACATCAAACGCCTCTCTTCGGAGACCGCAGAAGCGGAGAGACCTAGGCGCCGGCGAAGACGCATCAGTGACGGCGGATCGGGCGATTGGGGACGGCGAAGAAAGCGAGAGAGAAATTGCAGACTGCATTTTCTAGAGAGAGAGACAACTGACAACTGTGTGTAGTTTAGGAGAGAGAGAGAGATATAGAGAGAGTGAATGAGAGAGGAGGTAGAAATATAGAGTTGATGGGTTTGGAGCTTCGGGAGGTCCGTTGGGAAGTGGCGGACTTTACGAAGAAGAGAAATACTGTTGTGTGTGTTGGTGTTGTTTTTCAAGTGCCGATGAACTAACTAGTGTGCCTACTATTTTCTATTTTCTATTTTTCTTTTTCTTTTAGTTTTCGTACTATAATGAACTGGCCTTGAACACATTTGTTCGATAAGTTATGAAGTATGGCTTGATCTCGAGCCCAATTAGATATCGACGAAAAAACAAGTTACTCGAGTTTGATTTGTGTTCGGCTCAATTAAAATTATTTGAACTTGAGTCAATAGGTTATCAATTCAAAACTCACAAAATTTTACAAGCTCGATAAAAAAACCAAACAAATTTGAACATACGTATTTTGGTTTGACTCGGTTCGTTTACACCCGCATCTATAAGGTTGTGCATTTGAAAGACTTCACTCGGCATTCTAAATCAAAAGTTTTAAAACTCAATATTAAATTCTTTTGAGAATTTTAATATAGGGAAAATTACAACTACACCTGAGGTATGGTCAATTTACGAAAAAAAACCCTCTTATTTGAATAATTACATCTACTCCTGAACTATGATTTTTTCTTACACATTCACCTTTATGGTGTCACATTCAACATAATCATCTAGAATTCATGGAATGTGCTCTAGTTTGTACTGGTTTTGTGTAAAAATACAGTTTTTTATGCACCACAATCTGATATATACAAGCCAAAAAACACATATTATGATCATCTTACTTCAAAATGTGGACTACGAATGGGATAAAACGTGTACAAAAGTGATAATAATCCATATAATCTCGAAGATTCCACCAAATTCGAAACTGCAAAGGTGGACAAGTAAAAAGATTTATAGTTGAATGGTGTTTGTAATTACCCAAACATGAGGGGGGTTTCGTAATTTAACCATACCTCAGGGGTTGATTGTAATTTACCCTTTAATATAAATATATAAAATAATGTTGATATTATAAATATGATATTCTAAAATAATTTAAAAAAATGGAAATATTTAGTGAAATTGAAATCTCAAATATATTAAAATTCTAAAAAATGGGAAACGAAAATTTTAGAACCCAAAATGAATAAATTTTTGTTTTTGAATCGGTAATTTTCTGATCAAAAATCAATTTTCACCTCTACTTTAAGATAATTTGAAAAAATAAAGAATAAAATTGAAGTGTAATTGTAATCAAATAATACCGTTAAATACTGCTCAATGCCGCGATAAGATACGACATCCGATACGATACAATAATTACAGTGCGATTTTCAACACATTTAAGGTTAATTTGTGAGATTTTCAACACTTTTAGGGGTGATTTGTGCACTCGGCGCGGGGCCTCCCGTGTGAGGTCAGGTCAGGTGATGGTCAACAACTCCGGACTTTCAACATCTTTTGGGGTAATTTGTGCGATTTCAGCATATTTGAGGGTGATATGTGCAATTTTTAGCTTTTTATTTTTTGGGGGAAAATACGAATTAGATTAGGCACGCATAGCCAAAAACAGGGGAAGGGAACATCCCTTCAAACAGGGGAAGAGAATGAGCTAGTTTATTACCCTGGCGATTAACAAAAGAATTCCTTGCAACTAATGAAGTATTGTAGAATTTCTCACCATTTTTCAAAGCCACATCCACATTGAGCTTCACCCAACCTCCTGGCGGCGGTGACCAAGTTGGCGAGGCAGCACACCTGGGTATGGAGTGTTTAGGCAACTGAGCATCTCTGAATGCGCGAAGAAAAGAGCTGCACCAACCAACTAGTTCGTTCATCTTCAAGTGCTCCGATCCATGCAAACGCTGGTTGTGCACATCCCATTTTTTCCAACAGATAACAACGGCCGACAAAAGAATGTCCTCAGACAGATAACGGCTCAAAAAATCAAACCAAGACCCAAAAGATTGATAGCTCTCCGTCGGCTTGGGCAGAAACGGGACAGATTCCCAAATATCCTTCATACCCCAACAAATACACAAAACATGGGCAGAGGTTTCTTCGTCAGCCAAACACTCCTAGCAAAAAGGATCCCGGACAATATGGAGCTTGAAAAGAGCCACTTTAGTTGGGAGGATGCCGGAGCACGCTCTCCAAATAAACATCCGAACTTTAGGAAGGAGTGCAAGTTTCCAAATATTATTCCAATCTCGTTGAGATTCGCCACTAACTCTGCTTCCATCACTCGACGTCGAATTACCCTGCAACTTCTTCTCGAAGATAAGGTGGTAGAACGAGCCGACTGTAAAAGAACCAGTATGTGAGAAAGGCCAAATCAACCTATCTCTCGCATAGCCGACGCCCAAGGGGACTTGGAGAATGTGTTCTCTGTCGATCGGCCAAAATGTATGATCAATAAGGTCCCGGTTCCAAGTATGCGTCTCTACCTCGATAAGATCCGACAAAAGATTAGAGAAAGTTGAATCCATTGGTTGGGGTGTAAGGATCCGGGGTTTTCCTTCCCCTTCTAGCCATGGGTCGCTCCAAATGCATGTGGAATTACCGTCGTCAATCCGACGCCTTGTGCCTTCCCGGAGAAACTCCCGAGTTACCAGAATGCTTTTCCACGTCGTCGAAGGCCGGGTACCGATCGACGCAGACCATAAATCACTCCCTGCAAAGTACCTGACCTTCAAAATATGCGCGAGAAGAGAGTCCGGATTACTAATCAACCTCCACGCTTGTTTTGGTAGAAGAGCAAGATTAAATGATTGCAGATCCCAAAAAACCATCCCTCCTTTGGTTTTGGGTTGGCATAAGGAGTCCTACGTCTTCCAACAAATTCCTTTATTTTACCCGCTGCTCCACCAAAAGCGTCGAATGGCCAGCTCCAATTCCAAGATATGATATAAGATGGCAATGCCTGGAGCACAGCTTTCATAAGAACTTCTTTCCCCGCTCTCGAGATATGATTGGAATTCCACGAGCAAATTTTGGCCCAAATTCGGTCCCGGAGATATCAAAAAATCTTCTTCCTAGATCTTCCCATCATCGCTGGCATTCCCATTAGGGATCCAAGCGATCTTAAAACCTTGAACAAAGTCCATGTGCACTGCATCATGAATCATAGAGATAAGGCCTTCGGTACACAAAATGAAAAGGCGAGAGCGGGTTGCCTTGACGAATCCCTCGTGAAGGAATAAGCGAGCCACACTGCAAACCATTAAACAAAAACGTATAATTCACAGAGGAGACGCAAAAGCATAATCAAATCAACGAAAGATAAAGAAAGCCCATGCAAATCAGGATTTTCCGTAAATAAGACCACTCAATTTGGTCATAAGCTTTACTAATGTCCAGTTTTATGGCCACGAGCTTAGTTCTTTTGCGAGAGTTAGTCTTATTTTGCGAGAGTTAGTCTTAATGTAATGGTTAGTTTCAAAAGCTACCAATACATTACCAGTTATAAGTCGACGGGGCACAAAAGCAGATTGAGAAGGAGAAATCAAATCGCTCAACACCATTTTAATACGATTAGCAATGATCTTAGAACCAAGTTTGTAAATAACATTACACAAGCTAAATATGCTCGTTAAGGGAATTTAAGAACATACTCAATGATTGAAGAGCCTAAAATATTTCAATATTTACAGAAGAAAATAACCGAAAAACCATGGGGGATTTAGTGGGGTGCATTTGAGATAAGGCTCAGGTTACCTCGTCAGCGGAGAAAGGAAGAGTAAGCTGATGAGACACATTGCTACTGAGCCGGTGTCAACATATTTTATTTATAACAATCATGTTTGCCATTTTTTGTTAATTAAGGGAAAAACCACAAAAATTACTTCAAATAGAACCAATTTATATTAGCAAGTGTAATAAAACGGACACTAGTATTTCTGAAAGCTATGATTTTTGTCGTAATTATTAAATTAAGGGCGAATGACAAAAAGGCCCATCACATAAGATTTAAATGCACATTTGTCCACAAAAAAATAGTCTCTCAATTAAACTCATCCCCATGTCTTTAGTCTAAAATACCCCCCATAATATAATTCTTATCAATTCCATCCATTATGCTCTAACTTCCTTAATATTACACATTGACCCCAGATTTAAACAAATACATCACATTAAACCCCAAAATATTTTTTTTTTCAGAAAATAATTTTTTTTTCGGCCAGATTTCGGCGTTAACCGCCGGTATCCGGCATTGACTTTGTTTTTTTTTTTTTGAAATTTTTTTTCCTGAATTTTTTTTCCGGTCGGTCAACCACTGTTGACCGCCGCCGGTCTCCGGCGTTGACTTTTTTTCGAATTTTTTTTCTTAGAAAAAAAATATTTTAATTAATATTAATGTCTTGGCTACTAAATTACTGTTTGGGACACTAAGATTATGAATATTATTTTCCCGAACAGTAATATTATTAATATTCTTGTCTAAGACAATTAAATTACTGTTGGAGATAGTAATTTAGCAGCCAAGGCAGTAATATTAATTAAAATAATTTTGTTTAGACAAAAAATTTCAAAAAAAAAAGAGTTAATTAACAGTTAAATTACTGTCTCCGACAGTTAAATAACTACTGGAGACAGTAATTTTAATTTAGCAACGACTACAGTAATATTAAATAAAAATATTTTTTGTAAGAATATAAAAGTCAATTAACAGTTAAATTACTGTCTCCGGCAGTTAAATAACTGCTGGAGACAGTAATTTAGCAACGAATAGAGTAATATTAATTAAAATATTAAAAAAAAAGTCAATTAACCGTTAAATTACTGTCTCCGATAGTTAAATAACTACTGGAGACAGTAATTTAGCAGCGAAGAAAGTAATATTAATTAAAATATTTTTGAAGAAAAAAAATGTCAATTAATAGTCAAATTACTGTCTCCAACAGTTAAATAACTGTTGTAGACAGTAATTTAGCAGCCAAGACAGTAATATTTATTAAAATATTTTTTTAAGAAAAAACAAAATTAAAAATAAAAAAAAAATCAACGCCGGAGACCTGGCGGTCAACGGTAGTTGACCGGTCGGAAAAAAAAAATTCACGAAAAAAAAGTTTTCAGAAAAAAAAAAAAAAAAAAGTCAACGCCGGAGACCGGCGGTCTCCGGTGGTGGCGGGTCAAAATTGGGATCAAAATTGAAATTATGGTTAAAATTGGTTAATTGATGAAATTTGGCTAATTGGGGTGTAAATCATGAAATTAGAGTTGAATTGGATTTCAATGAATTGTGGGTAATTTTGGTATATATAAAAAGATTTTCCTTATTTGCAAATAAGTTTGAATGAACTGGATTTATTTGAAAGACATAAAAGTAGGATGTCCCTCTTTTATTAAGTGCCCTTGTTGTAGGTCTATTTGCCATTTGCCCTTAAATTAATGTTGAAACTTGAATTTAGATCTATTTTGAATGAATGGTTTGACTTAAAATATTAATTTCGATATTTTTATTTTATTATTTATTACATGATATATAATTTGTACCATTTTTAATAGTCAATCAAATATTTGACGGTACGATACGATATGTGGAGAAAAACGATACGACGACGTATTTCGATGGTACGATATATAGAGGAAAACGAGGTTCCTTCGATCCTACACCCGGTGAAAAACACCGGGTGAGTCTTCTGCTGCCACGTGTTCTTTTTTTTATTTTTCTAAAACCCCTAAAGGTAAACCCTAACGGGGAATCTATTAAAAAATATAAAAAAAGAGACACGTGGCAGCAGAAGACCCACCCGGTGTTTTTCAGCGGGTGTAGGGTCCAACAAATCAGGAAAACGATACGATGATGTATTCCGATATGATAACCGTGGTCTCGACTAATAATTTTTTTTCTGAGAGGACTAGACTACTAATAATAAAGATATTTCTGAGACATTATTATTATTAATATTTATTATTATTTTTATTATTATATTATTACTATTACAACCTAACAGCGCGGCTCTCAGCGAGGAAATGAAGTTGTGAGTAGTATACCCCCCACTCTCTCTCTCTAGGGTTGGGAGATTATTTTAAGTTTGCCTAACTTTTCCAGAAAAAAAAAGAAAAAAGAAAAACCAAAACTGCAACAGCAGTCGAGATTCGAGGCGTTGAGCCAATCGAGAGATTGCGGACGGCAGAAAACGTTCGTAGATCGATCGATCTATTTGCTTTATTCTTCGGATCCAATCAATCAATCAATCAATCTATCTATAAATCAGTATTTGCTCTCGCTAAATAAATCTGAAAAAAAAGATGTTCTTGTTCGATTGGTTCTATGGAGTTCTCGCAACGCTCGGGTTGTGGCAGAAGGAGGCCAAGATTCTCTTTTTAGGGCTTGATAATGCCGGAAAAACCACACTCCTTCATATGCTCAAAGACGAGGTTTAATTTCTCTTTTTTCGATTCGGATTGAATGAATCTTCGTAATTATTTGAAATTTCTTGTGCAAAGTCGGTGATTTTGGTAATTAATTGGAATGGAATGGGTTATTTCATCTATGTGTTATTTGTGATGTTAACCTCTGGTGTTTTTTTGATGTTATTTAAACCTTTTTTTTTCTTCTTAAAAATTGTCTGTTGGTAAATCTGAACCAAATGTGAAGTTTGATTTGTATCGACGCCCTTATGATATTTCACTGCGATTCACGTCAACAAATAACTGTTACGAACTCTTCGAATTATGTCGTGTTTATGATTGATCTTGTAATTGGAGTCGTTGGACATAAATGCTATCGTTTTTTTTTTTTGGCTTTTTGCGATGATTCTATATTGAAATTTCCGAATCCGCTTGCATGATTTAATCAAATTGAGAGAATTACGTCAGTTTAGAAGTGAAACTGAGTTTGTTAAGGTGTTGGAAATGAGCAGAGATTGGTGCAGCACCAGCCGACTCAACATCCAACCTCGGAAGAGCTGAGTATCGGGAAAATCAAGTTCAAAGCTTTTGATTTAGGAGGCCATCAGATCGCCCGTAGAGTCTGGAAAGATTACTATGCCAAGGTATCAACACTAGCTATTTTCTACGATTTTGATTTTATAGATATTCAGCAATTTTCTGTATATTCTATTCCTATATTTCACTATGGGTTTCGAGTTTAATGTTTTTCGTCGATCTATCCATACGACAAGGCATATCTTTAATCCGGATATGTTTCTCTTCTAGACTATCATTTTTTTTCTCTTTCCTGTGCTGGACCAGTAGTTAAAAGCTACATGTTCTAATATTACACTCTGTGTAACCATATATAGATAATCATTTAGTGGAAAAGAAGCTTGTTTATTTATATGGACCAAAGTACCCTGCATAATCTGTGAATTGTTGCTCTCAAGGGACTCCTGTGTAATTATCATAAAATTAGTTTTTCTGATGTATGTTAGGGGTATGCTGCAAAAACCGAGCCTTCATAATCCCAAATAAACTCTCGCATGTTTATTTGATTCATGGGAGGCCTACAATGAGAATGGGAGCTCGCTGAAAGCACCTTTTATCCTCTGAGGTGTTTCAATAGTATCTCACCAGACACGTCATATTAAAAAAATATATATACAAAAATTCAAACCCTGTTACAAATGCTTTACCCATCATTGGCTCATTTTATTTTTCAATTATTCTTCCAAAATGCTTTTCTTAGATATCACTCGACTGCGACATTGTAAATTGTCACCTCTTAAAATATGAATAAACGGGGCCTAACATTGCGAAAAGTTCAAGCAATGGGTGGTTATAGTTTATTTCAGTGTTAATTATTTCGTTGATCAAGTTGTTTTTTTTTATGCTATATTATTTAAGTGGTTCTAATGTCTGTGCGATTGTTTAGGTTGATGCTGTCGTTTATTTAGTGGATGCGTATGACAAGGAGAGATTTGCAGAGTCAAAGAAAGAGCTGGACGCTCTTCTCTACGACGACTCGTTGGCTAACGTTCCGTTCTTGATATTGGGCAACAAGATAGATATTCCGTATGCTGCATCCGAAGAGGAGCTTTCGTACCACTTGGGTTTGATGGGCATCACTTCTGGCAAGGGTAAGGTTAACCTTTCCGACTCAAATGTACGTCCGATTGAGGTTTTCATGTGCAGCATCGTTCGCAAGATGGGTTATGGAGATGGCTTCAAATGGGTCTCTCAGTTTATCAAGTAGAAGGCATCACATCCCATAAAATCAGTATTAATGATTTTGTTTTTCTTTTTTTTATTTAAAGATTCACAATTCGGTTTGCCGTTGTTGTTTGTTTCGAAATGATTAAATTTTACTTTGTCCGATTCTCGATTATTAGACGTTTGTTGGTTATTGTCAGTCTGAAAACATGATTAATTTTCTATGTTTACTAAACTCTTTTGGGTTAAGCGTATACCAGAATTTTTTGGTTATTGAGACTCAATTGTCCTTGATTTGTTTTGTATTTTCTTCTTGTAGAGAACACTATTTGGAATGAATCAATTGTCCAAATTGCTCCGATAGGTCTAATTATACGTTGTTTTCGTTGTGAATGATTTTGAGTTCGGGGGTGTTTAATGCTGGCGGTTTTTAGATGATGTAGGTGAAAATATTTTTAATTTTGCCCAAAAAAGTTCAGACTTTCTCTCTTCTTTCTCTCACCTTCTCTTTCCCCCCTTCAAACAAACCGCCGGAATCGTCACGAATTAACCGATATCGAAGGTAAATTTTGAACCAAATTCATGCACTTAGATCTAGCCGAATTCAATGTATTGAGTTCGGCTAGATCTAGTTGAACTCAAGGTTTTCTTCTTTTTTTTTTTCCTTCTTATATTCGAAATATTAAAAATAAATAAATTAATGAGTTCGACCAAAACAAGTAGAACTCAAAGGTCCGAGTTTGGCATTATTCCATTGAACTCATACGTTTTTTTTTTTTTTTTTTCGGAATTACTTGTTTGGCTATGGCATATGTTCTTGCTTTCTCATTTTTGTACATTACTCGATTTTGTACCCGATTTTATCACATATAGGTTCAAAAATTGGAAAATATGCTAGAAATAAAAGTTGTAGCCCATCAAGTATTGTTTCGGATGCCACTGGAATCAATCCATTTGGAGTTCGTATGTTAAAGTTACGATGGTTACATCCAACACTATCAAAGCTGAAGTACGGAAGTTCAACACATTCTTGTTGAAAATGTTGGTTGTAGTTCAACTCATGGATGCTGAACACAATAGTTCGAAATTAATTTCAAAAAATAAGAAAAACAATATTTATTGTAGGAAAATATTCGGGACAACAAAAATATGCAAAAAAAATTAAATTATTCCACAAATAACCCATTTATAATCGTTTTTTTTTTGCAAAAAAAAATTAATAGTAATTTTTTTTTTGGAAAATGGATAATTATTATTAGCTGATTAAGTCGAATGGAAAATTAATCCGTCAAAAATAATACAAACATTGTCACTTACAATCTGAAAACAAATTATTCATTACTCCAAACATAATTCAAACATCATCACTTCCAATCCGAAAATAACTTAAACATTCGTCCATAAATAATACAAACATTGTCACTTACAATCCGAAAACAAATTAGTCATTTACAATCCAAAAACAAATTATACATTACCCCAAACATAGTCACTTACAATCCAAAAATAACATAAACATTCGTCCATAAATAATACAAACATTGTCACTTAGAATCCGAAAACAAATTGCACATTAGTCCAAATATAATCCAAACAGCCAAACATGTAACTCACAATTCCAAAATAAATTATACATTAGTCAAAAAATAAATATTGGTTCTTTATAACTCATAAATTGCACTTGGACCGGCAACTCTTTGGAACAGTCGAAGCAATGTTTGTAGTCGACCTTCATATATTTTCCGTAACGGCAGTAAATTTGGATCGCAATAACGGTGCCACTAAGGATGGATAGGCTGAAGAGGGCAATTATTCAGTAATTGAAAGATCATGAAATGAGAATTATGTAAAGACGTTGGGATAATAGTAGGATATTGCGTCATTCCCAATGAGAGCTAAATAAGTTACAAACCTCGAACGTCTCAATACTATCATCAACATTTATGTTATCATCAAAACCACCCTGCATGACAATTGAAGCTGCTGTCAATATTGTTTGAGCGTTAGTATTACTTACGTGACGAAAGACAAAAGGGGATGTAGCTCAGATGGTAGAGCGCTCGCTTAGCATGCGAGAGGTACGGGGATCGATACCCCGCATCTCCATTTTTTTATTTTGAGTTTCTAAATTTCATGTTTTCGGCGAAGATTTGATCAGTACATAAAACCTACCCCCGCGCACATAATAGTCGATACATACATTAATATTCAATTCAACTATTTGTCTACGTCTGGATATAATCATTTTATCTTTGAGTAAACTAATTTTTTACATCTAGTTAACATTTGAAATATTTTTATTTTATTTTAATCTTGTCAAAAAATGATAATAACTTATAATCTTAAAAAAACAAAAAAATTAAATGGGAATAATTAATAAGAAAAATAAATGAAAATCTTATTGATAAAAGTAAGAGACGCTAAGGCAACCTAAGAAACTCTAATAATATATTTGTAATTTTTTAATATTAATTATTAGTATTTTTTCATCTCTTATTTTCCGGCTTTTTTCCTCTAATGACCTTCATAGCAAATCAAATTTGCAAATCCGCTAGGAAAATTCTAATGCGTTCGAATAGTATATTTTTTTACTCTCCTTCTCTCCACACCTCCATTTTTTTTTTATTTTGAGTTTCTAAATTTCATGTTTTCGGCGAAGATTTGATCAGTACATAAAACCCAAACCCCCGCGCACATAATAGTCGATACATACATTAATATTCAATTCAACTATTTGTCTACGTCTGGATATAATCATTTTATTTTTGAGTAAACTGATTTTTTACATCTAGGTAAAATTTGAAATATTTTTATTTTATTTTAATCCTGTCAAAAAATGATGATAACTTATAATCTTACAAAAACCAAAAAAATTAAATGGGAATAATTAATAAGAAAAATAAATGAAAATCTTATAGATAAACGTAAGAAACGCTAAGGCAACCTAAGAAACTCTAATGATATATTTGTAATTTTTTAATATTAATTATTAGTATTTTTTCATCTCTTATTTTCCGGCTTTTTTCCTCTAATGACTTTCATAGCAAATCAAATTTGCAAATCCGCTAGGAAAATTCTAATGCGTTCGAATAGTATATTTTTTTACTCCCCCTCTCTCCACACCTCCATTTTTTTTTATTTTTTTTATTTAGAGTTTCTAAATTTCATGTTTCGGCGAAGATTTGATTAGTACATAAAACCCAAACCCCCGCGCACATAATAGTCGATACATACATTAATATTCAATTCAACTATTTGTCTACGTCTGGATATAATCATTTTATTTTTGAGTAAACTGATTTTTTACATCTAGGTAAAATTTGAAATATTTTTATTTTATTTTAATCCTGTCAAAAAATGATGATAACTTATAATCTTACAAAAACCAAAAAAATTAAATGGGAATAATTAATAAGAAAAATAAATGAAAATCTTATAGATAAACGTAAGAAACGCCAAGGCAATCTAAGAAACTCTAATGATATATTTGTAATTTTTTAATATTAATTATTAGTATTTTTTCATCTCCTATTTTCTGGCCTTTTTCCTTTAATGACCTTCATAGCAAATCAAATTTGCAAATCCGCTAGCAAAATTCTAATCCGTTCGGATAGTATATTTTTTTTACTCTCTCTCTCTTTCTCTCTCCGCATCTCCATTTTTTTTTGAGTTTCTAAATTTCATGTTTTCGGCGAAGATTTGATTAGTACATAAAACCCAACCCCCCGCGCACATAATAGTCGATACATACATTAATACATTGCTTTTTTAATATTAATTATTAGTATTTTGTCATCTCCTATTTTCCGGCTTTTTTCCTCTAATGACCTTCATAGCAAATCAAATTTGCAAATCCGCTAGCAAAATTCTAATCCGTTCGGATAGTATATTTTTTTACTCTCTCTCTCTCTCAGCATCTCCATTTTTTTCATTTTGAGTTTCTAAATTTCATGTTTTCGACGATGATTTGATCAGTACATAAAACCTACACCCCCCCCCCCCGCGCGCGCGCGCGCGCACATAATAGTCGATACATACATTAATATTCAAATCAACTATTTGTCTACGTCTGGATATAATCATTTTATCTTTGAGTAAACTGATCATTTACATCTAGTTAACATTTGAAATATCTTTATTTTATTTTAATCCTGTCAAAAAATGATGATAACTTATAATCTTAAAAAAAAAAATTAATTGGAATAATCAATAAGAAAAATAAATGAAAATCTTATAGATAAAAGTAAGACACGCTAAGGCAACCTAAGAAACTCTAATGATATATTTGTATTTTTTTAAAATTAATTATTAGTATTTTTTCATCTCCTATTTTCCGGCTTTTTTTCCTCTAATGACCTTCATAGCAAATCAAATTTGCAAATCCGCTAGCAAAATTCTAATCCGTTCGGATAGTATATTTTTTTACTCTCTCTCTCTCTCTCTCTCTCTCTCTCCCCGAATCTCTATTTTTTTATTTTGAATTTCTAATTTTATGTTATCGGCGAAGATTTGATCAGTACATAAAACCCAACCCCCCGCGCACATAATAGTCGATACATACATTAATATTCAATTCAACTATTTGTCTACGTCCGGATATAATCATTTTATCTTTCAGTAAACTGATTTTTTACATCTAGTGAACATTTGAAATATTTTTATTTTATTTTAATCCTGTCAAAAGATGATGATAACTTATAATCTTAAAAAAACAAAAAAAAAAAAAAAAATAAATGGGAATAATTAATAAGAAAAATAAATGAAAATCTTATAGATAAAAGTAGGAAACGCTAAGGCAACCTGAGAAACTCTAATGATATATTTGTAATTTTTTAATATTAATTATTAGTATTTTTTCATCACCTATTTTCCGGCTTTTTTTTTTTCCTCTAATGACCTTCATAGCAAATCAAATTCGCAAATCCGCTAGCAAAATTCTAATCCGTTCGGAGAGTATATTTTTTTACTCTCTCTCTCTCTCTGATACACACCTATGTGGATTTATTTAATACAATTAATATTCTAATCCGTTCGAATAGTATATTTTTTTAATTACTTTCTCTCTTATACACACATATGTGGATTTTTTAATACAATTAAAATTCTAAACCGTTCGGGTAGTATATTTTTTTACTCTCTCTCTGATACACACCTATGTTGATTTATTTAATATAATTTAAATTCTAATCCGTTCGGATGGTATATTTTTTTACTCTTTCTCTCTCTCTCTCTCTCTCTCTCTCTTATACACACCTATGTGGATGTACTTAATATAATTTAATTATCATAAT